AATGGACAGCTGTAGGACAATCCTGTTCCACTGGAAAAGAGGTTTCTGAATGGCACCTGTCATTTTCTCCTTTCCCTTTTTATTAATTCAGTTGGGCTGGCAAAGGCCAATGAATTCTCAAGGGATTTACTAACAGCTCACCATCCTTTTTTTTTTTTTTAATAAATAAACGTCAGAAGGCAGGCTGGGTGGTGGGAAAGATAATACTGCATCTGGTGTTAAGAAGAAATTGGCTGAACACAAAACATAGAACTGGAAGGTGCCTGGTTATTTACAGGATTAAAAAAGTGAGAAGAAATGTTTAGATAGTACGAGAGAGGGAAACTGCTTGACTTTTGGGGAACTGCTGATGAAGAAGATTATATTGTGCTCAGAGGGAAGAAGGCAGCAAGCTAAGGCTTTAGGAATATCTTTGGTGTTCAATCTACTTTTTTTGAAGCCTAAAAGTAGAGCTTGAACTGTCCTGCTGAATTTAATGACCAAGACATTTTTGGTAAGATATTTACTGATTAGGAGAAGGAAGATTGCAGTACTGCAGGCCACTTTAGCTGACTGTGTTCAGCAGGTCAGCGGTTCAAATCTCACCGGCTCAAGGTTGACTCAGCTTTCCATCCTTCTGGGGTAGGTAAAATGAGGACCCAGATTGTTGGGGGCAATGTAAATATATATATATATATATACATTGCTTACTGGTGTACACCGCTTAGAGAGTGCTTGCACTTAAAGCGGTATATAGGTCTCATAAATAAATAAATAAATAAGATACATGAAAATAACAACTCTTAATACCGATTTTAAAAAGGCAAGAAAATGCCTGAAAAAAAAGTCTTGCCTTGACTGGTGTATTTGAAAAATAGGATATGCCCACTACTCCACATCATTACCCCTGAAATGTTTTGTTGAACCCTCAGCCATCAAAAGGTGGCCATCACTGAGACAGACAAACCAGAAGTTCATCACAGATTGTGTTGCAGGAAAAAATCTTGGCTGAAAGTCTGGTAGAACAGATCAGCTTTACTTACGCAAGATCACCCAGTGATGTTGGGGCTGAGCAAGCAATAGCAGTAGCAATGGCGCTTATACGCTTCACAGTGTTTTACAGCCTTCTCTAAGTGGTTTACAATAGGCTAAATTGCCCCCAACAATCTGGGTCCTCATTTTACCAATCATGGAAAGATGAAAGGCCAAGTCAGCCTTGAGTCGGTGAATCGAACTGCAGAATTGCAGTCAGTGAGCAGAATTAGCCTGCAATGCTGCATTCTAACCACTGCGCCATTACGGCAAGCATTCACACATAGGTCTTCCAAAGCAGGAGTTTCACAAGGATGTCCACAAACACCTGCATCAAAGCCCTGGATAACAAAGCTATACATAGATATAGGTCTCTGGCTGAAGCTGCCACAATGACAAAATGATGCTCTGTGTGTAATCTGTAAAATTTGCACAATAACATCAGGATGCACCTGATATTACTTGCTGCCCTGTCATATGTCTCACAGACACAGAGTGGAATTTCTTATCTAGATTGCATGTCTTGATTGCAAAAGACTACTGACACCTGGAAGGCAGATACACAAATTCTGGACGGCAATCAACCTGGTCTTTCACAAAGTGTGCACATTCAATTCCAAATAAGAGAAGCAATTCTACAATCATTCTTCAGCAAAAGGAGAATGAAGGAAAGAACTCAGCCAAGGATGGGGCTGTCTACCATTTCTCTGTGGCTACAATATTTATCAGAATCAGCTTATTTTGCAGATCTACTACTACTATTATTGTCTATGGAGGTTCTCAGTCATCCAGGTCATGGTTGTCCCAAAAGTGCTTTTTCAAAAGGCAACTGGACTTTGTTTTTCCTTGGAGACATTTCGCTTCTCATCCAAGAAGCTTCATCGGTTCTGAAGTTCTTCAGTTCAGAACTGAAGAAGCACCTTGGATGAGAAGCAAAACATCTTCAAGGGAAACCAAAGATCAGTTGCCTTTTGAAAAAGCACACCTGGTACTACTATTATTATTTTATCCATACAGAGTGAGCCTCCATTCTTTTCCACTGGCAGTTTGGGTTTTTTTAAAAAACGAGCATTTCACTGATCTTTGCTATCTAGAAATTCAGAGAATCTGTTTTAATTAAAACCCATCCACCCTGACCTCAGCCAATCTCCAAGATCAACTTTCTTCATTGTCTCTGCTTGCTTGCACAGTGTTACAATCCTGCTCATCAATCATAATTGGTAACAGAGCCCCGTGCAGGATAGCACAGCACAAACCTAACCAATTAAAAAAGCTTCTGACTAATGTTCCATTTTCCTTTGTTCACAATTTAAAGGTTAAACCGAATAAATACCCTAAGGGGAAAAAAAAGGATTTGTGAATCTGAGCTATGGTCCCAGGGGTCTTGAGTTTTCAGCCAGCTTGATGAAGAAGCTTTACTCTCAGTGCTACGATGGCAGCTCTCCAGTTGTCAAAGTGGCTAAATTGCACTCTGGGGAAGTTGGAGAACAAATGGCCAGTAGTTCGTATTTAAGGGAGAAGGCAATTCACACAATATGGTTTGATCTAGCCCTATAATGCTCCTCATTCTTAGGTTTGTTTTTCTTCCCAGCTTCCCCCCCTCCCCTCCCTTCACAAGTGCAGGACCTTCTTTTTGGGGATCCACTGAGTGTTTGATCCATTGGATGGGACAGAAATTGCTTGACCTTGGAACTAGAATTCCCAGTCTCCTGGTTTCTCGTCTGGTGCTTTAACCATTACACTAGAGACCAAACTGACTCTAGCTTCTTCTTTTTTTAAAGTTTTTAATGAGTTTTATAGGGTTAGGGATAAAATAGGGTCGGGATAGGGATTAAGGTTTAGGGTGGGGTTGGGATCAGGACAGGGTTGGGATAAGGATTGGGGTTATCCCCCAATAACATTTTCAATATTTAGCAAACAGACAATTGTCCGGGTACATATGTTCAGCTAACAATAGTTGATATAGTGATAGATAACTGTAGAAAATATAATAAACAATAATCACAAACGGTATCAATTAATCAATGCATATCATTCTACTTACTAGTATGTATTCAAAATAACACATCACGTTGGTTTCTCATTAGTTCGTTTTCCTAACCATTGGTAAAAGTCAAACTGACTCTAGCTTCTTATGCTTAGATCAGTGATGGCGAACCTTTTAGAGACCAAGTGCCCCAAAACTGGCCCCGCCCTCTACTCCGCCCCCACCCCGCGTGCCCACAGGGCCACTCACTACCTCCAGGGCCCGCCGCAGATCGCCCAGGCAGCCCAGCAGCGCCATGGTGGCGACACTCTCTGCCCGCGTCCCACAGCATCAACTGTGCACGATGGGGGATGTGGGCAGAGCTTGTCTACACTGCCTGGCTGCCATGTCCTTGGCTGCGCTGCTCCACATGGGCCACGCTCAGGGGTGACTCCTCCAGGGGGCTGCTGGTGAGGAGGGGGTCGCAGGGGGAGGCAAGGCTGGAGCAATGGCACGTATGCTGATAGAGAGGGCTCTGAGTGCCACCTCTGGCACCCGTGCCATAGGTTCGCCACCACTGGCTTAGATCTTTATTTGAATTACTTAACTATACCAGTACCCAGTTGTTGCTATCTGTCTAGCTTCCTCCCTGTGTCTGTTTTTTATTTGCCACATTATATTTCTCTATTTCGCTTCCTTCTATCTGTAACGCTAAAGGCAAAAATCTCTCTATCCACGTTTCTCAAGAGGCTAGGGATGCCAAGAGTCACTTTACTTACAGAACACTCTGGATTCCAGTATTTGGGAGGCTGCCACAAAGAAGAGAGGGTCAACTTATTTTCCAAAGCACGAGAAGGCAGGACAAGAAACAATGAATAGAAACTAATCAAGGAGAGAAGCAACCTTGAATTAAGGAGAAACTTCCTAACAATGAGGAGAATTGGAAGAGCTTCCCTCCTGAAATTGTGGGTGCTCCATCCCTGGAGGTTTTTAAGAACAGACTGGACATTCACTTGTCTGAAATGATATAGGATCTCCTGCTTGAGCAGGGAGCTGGACTAGAAGACCTCCAAAGTCCTTTCCAGCTCTAATGCTGATTGACTGATTGGTTTGTTTTACGGGTGGTCCTCACTTAACCACAGTAATTGGGACCAGAATTTATCTTGCTAAGCAATATGGTTCTAAAGTTCAATGTCCCATGACTGTGCTGCTTAGTGATGGCAGTTCTGGCAGATCCCAGTTACTGTTGTTAAATGAGGACCTTATGCAATGGTAACGTCTGATTTCATGCTACCTTCCCCCATTGAGTTTGCTTGTGGGAAATCGGCAGGGAAGCTCACAAATTGCAAGCACAAGAGACTGCAATGGTTGGAAATCTGGGCAGGTGGCCGAGTGCCTGGATAGCAAGAGCACGTAGACTTATATACCGCTTCATACTGCTTTAGAGCACTCTCTGGGTTGTTTACAATGCCAGCATTATTTGCCTATTGCCCCCAACTATCTGGCTCCTCATTTTACCAACCTCAGAAGGGTAGAAGGCTGAGTCAACCTTCAAACTCCAGGCTGTGGGCAGAGTTTGCCTGCAATGCAACACTTTAACCACTGTGCCACCAGGGCTCATGATCATAGGGCAGAGATGCTATGATGGCTGGAAGTTTGAGGACTGGTTGTAAGTCAGTTTGAATGGTTGCTGCGACAAGTGGGTATTGAGGACCACCTGAAAAATTTAGGTCTGCTCATTTCTGCTATCTAACATTCTTTTTAACCAGAGAAGCCGGGCTGGAATGAGGAAACATCTGCAGGCAATTGTCTATGGAGATTCTCAGTCATCCAGGTCATGGTTGTTCCAAAGGTGCTTTTTCAAAAGGCAACTGGACTTTGTTTGTTCCTTGATGTCTTCAAGGAAACACAAAGTCCAGTTGCTTTTTGAAAAAGCACCTTTGGGACATCTGCAGGTAACGCTTAAGCTGCCCCAACACAGTTTCTTCTTACAGTGTAACGCTAGCTTAGAAAGGAACCTTACCTGTAATATGGTAGCTAATTTGGTGGTTAATGTCAGAGGTATCTTCATCCCAAGTGCGAAGGACAGCCACAACTTCTCCTGGGGGGTCACTCTCTTTCACAGATCCTCTGTACATATCCTGCTGGAATATGGGAGCATTATCGTTGATGTCTGTTACGGTGACGGAGATTAAGGTGGTCGAGGAGAGGGAGAGGGCTTCTCCCAGGTCAGAGGACACCACAGTGAAGGCGAAAGTGGGGTCCTTCTCATGGTCCAAATCTTTCAAGGTGCTGATCCAGCCACTGTTGCTGTCAATAGTGAACACCTCTGAGATCCTGTCGATATCCAGTTCTGTTAACAGAGAATAGGTGACTTGACCGTTGGCCCCCGAGTCTGCGTCCATTGCTTTGACCTGTACAAGTTTAGTCCCTATTGGCATCCCCTCCATTACGATCGTGTCATACTTGGCTGCCTCAAAAATGGGCTTGTTGTCATTAATGTCCAGAACTTTAATGTCCACATCCACAGTTACCACAATGTCCACCTTATCAAGCTGTAGGGTTGCAGCCACTTTAAAATGAAAGGCGGGATCTGCCTCATGGTCTAGCCTCTTGTCCAGTTTTATAATGCCGGTGTCTTGCTCTATAATGAAAACTCCATCCTTGTTGTTTCCAGTCAATTCGCCATTAACTGTGCTGTAGATGACTCCTTGGTTAGGCAAAACGTGAAGAGCATCAATTGTACTCCCTATTAGGGCATCTTCTGATACTGTAAAGGAATACTGAGGTTGAGAAAAAGAAGGCAAGATGGTTTCTGGAGGTAAAACATGTATATACACAGGGATAAGGGAATGCCGTACAGGAATACCACTGTCAACGGCTTTGACAAAAAAGGATAGCACCGTATTTTTCAACTGGTTGAAATTCCCTTTGGTTACCATCCACCCATTGTCTGGGTCAATTTCCAGGAGATCCGCGACAGAAACAGAGGCTTCACTATACAGGGAGTAGACAATCCTAGCATTGGCGCCATCATCAGGATCAACAGCTTGGACCTGGGTGACTAAGTGACCTTTCCCAACATCTGCTTTGACACTTGCTCTATATTCCACAGTCATGAACTGTGGGGCGTTGTCGTTTTCATCCACTACTATGACTCGGATGGTGCAGAACGTGCTCCTCCCTCCACCATCAAGAGCTCTTAAAAATATGGTGATGTCACCTTCCAAAGGGAGTTCCCGATCCAGTTTCTCTGTAGTGAGGATCTGCCCTTTGTTATCAATGACAAATCTGTCTTTGGCAAAATCATTGATGATGGAGTAACTTATCTGACCATAGATGCCCGAATCTCCATCGGTTGCTTTTACATGGATCACCCTGGTTCCTGGGACAGCGTTTTCTCTGACTTCTGCCACATAAATACTTTGTGTGAATACGGGGCTGTACAAATTAGCTCCAAGAATCTGGATATGGACTTGAGCAGTGCTGGTAAACAAACCATCAGAAACGGAAACATTCAAGCTGTACATTGACTCCATTCTCTGCTTCCGATGATTTGACAGTGTGATGACGCCACTTTTGGTATCCATCACAAAACTGGTACGGTCATTTCCAGATAAGATACTGTACTCCAATCGGTCAAAATCGGAGCTGTCTGCATCGGAAGCCTGGACGCATGTCACAAAATGACCTCGAGGAGCTAATTCACTAACGTAGGATTCATATATCAATTGATTAAAAACAGGAGGGTTGTCATTCATATCGGTCACATAAATGTTCACTAGAACTTCACTACTTAGAGGTGGGAATCCATTATCAGTGGCCCGTACTTTTAAGCTGCACTGCTGCATCAGTTCATGGTCCAACAAACGGGCTGTTAGGATAAGGCCACTGGTCCCATCGATATGAAAATAATCTGTGCTATTGAAAGTGTCCTGGACTATCTGGTACTGAATGATTTTGTTGTTGTCAGAATCTGCATCAGTAGCAACTACCTGCAAGACAGGAGTTCCAATCAAAGAGGCTTCGGATAATGTGGCATTGTAAGCAAAGTGATCAAAAACTGGAGCATTGTCATTGACATCTTTGATAATTAAGTCCACTGTAACTTCAGCTCGGGCACCAGTAAGAGCATCGCTGGCTCTCACCATCAGCTTGAAAATGGGATTGAGTTCATAGTCTAGTGGACTGATGACACTGAGGACTCCTGTGTCAAAGTCAATGTTGAACTGATTATAAGGATCCCCATCTACTATGATGTAAATGATACCTTGACCTTCTGGGCTGGTAGCATTGATGCTCAGGATCGGGGTGTTCATTTCTATGTCTTCATTTACAGAGGCAGTGTAGAAGGGCTTGTCAAAGATGGGCATGGCTTTATTAACAATGGTGATAGGCAGTTCCACCGAAGCAGACAGTGAGGGGTCACCTCCATCTTTAGCTATGACAATAATTAAATATTCTATATTGGATAAGTCAGAGTTAAAGGGTGCTTTCAAGGTGATGCTCCCACTGTGACTGTCGATTTCAAAGTGCCCATAGTCCTCCTTCAGTAGGTAAGATACATCCCCATTTGCACCCTTATCTTTGTCAATGGCTCTCACTCGGAATATCAGAGTGCCAGGGTCAGCCTCAACTTGAACAGCAGCATAGTATGGAAGTCCAACAAATACCGGAGCATTGTCGTTGATGTCTTCAATGAGAATTCGGACAACCACTCTGGCCACCCGTAGATGGTCCAGCTCACGACTCGCCTCCACCACCAATTCATATAATTCCTGTTCTTCCCTATCAAACGGGAGGCCAACAGTTTGAATAAGACCTAAAGTGGGTTTGATCTTGAATTTGTTCCCTGGATTTAAAATGCTGTACTTCAAGGGCTCATTGAGACAGTTTCCAACTGCATTGACCACTGCTACCTTGGTGATGTTGGTGCTATTCTCCAAGATTGATGTAGAATAATGGCTTTGAATGAAGTGAAGACCGCTATCCATGGCTTCCTTGACCATGATTGTCACTATAGCACTACTGTAAAATTTTCCATCAGATACTTTTACTATCAGCATGTAATGGTCTTTGGAAAGGCTGTGGTTTTTTATAGTTAACACCCCAGAGACTGAATCAATGAGAAAATATTCTGTGTTCCCTTCAATCAGGCTGTAAGCCAGCTCAGAAGGGACTCCTAAATCTGGGTCCACAGCTTTGACTTGAAGAACCTCCACTCCTACGTAAGTTGGCAGAAGCAAGATGGTTTCAAACATTGCCTGACTGAACACTGGAGGATTATCGTTGACATCTGTTACATCAATGGTAACTTCCACAGGACTTTCTGCAGTAAGCTGTGGATTGCCACTATCTCGAACGTGAACGTGGAAGTAAAAATGTGCGATGGTTTCGTGATCCAAATCAGCAATAGTTCTAATTGCACCTGTACTAGAGTCTACTGTAAAATAATTCTTGGCAGTTGACTCAACAATCTGGTAAACGAGCAGTGCGTTTTGATTACTATCTGCATCCGTGGCTCGTATCACAAGTGGATGGTTTCCCACGCTCCGGACTATGCTATTGACTGGTGCGGCCTCACTGATGCTGCCCAAGTATTGAGAAAAAAGAAAAACAGGTGAGTTGTCATTTTCATCCACTATCTGGATGTTTACAGTGGCATTTGATGCCATCCCTGCCATGTTTGTGGCTTGCACAGTGAGCTGGTAAGAGGAAGTATGTTCATAGTCAAGAGACCTCTGACTTGTGATGACTCCAGAATAAGGGTTGATCACGAAGGCTCCATCTATATTGCCATCTTTGACTTCGTATACTAATGTAGACTGACTGATTGCTGAGACTTGGACAACTGAAGTCCCAAAATCAACATTTTCATTTATTTCAGCTTGCCATTCCTTGTGTGTGAATTTGGGGTGGGAGTTGTCCGACATCGTCACAGATATGCGGACAATGGCAGTAGCTGACAATGGGGGAGAACCCTGGTCAGCTGCTTTAACTGATAGCACAAACTGGCCCATGGTGGTCAGGTCTGGTTCTTTCAGCAAGGAGATGATGCCTAGAACTGGTTCAATCCTGAACGTGTTTCCAGTGTTCCCTGAAAGAATGAAATAGGGGGAAAAAATTAAACGTGAAATTTAAACACGAGAAAAAAAAATCAAACTATAATATTGGAGACTGAAAAACATTCAGTGGGCACCTACTGACATCACATTAAGAGAATAATATGTGTTACCCATAAAACCAAACTGAATCAATCCTTAAATTCGTAAGCTCCCAATTCACAACCCATTTCCTTTCTTCAATTTTTCTGCACATCTTTTATATAACGGACTTTATTCTGAAAGCAACTGAGCTTTCGAAGTTTATCTGAAGTTTATCCATCAGAGAATACACCCAAAAGTTATTTTTAAAAAATTAGGGAATAGATGTAATGCTGTAGCAAAAGTCAGACAAGTCCATTGCTGAATGCAGGAATTACTTATTTTTCAAATGAAAAGGATTTGGGGCAGGAAATAGAAAAGTTTGCGCCTGAATTATTTTGTGTAGAGAACAGCTCATTTTGGGAGACTTACACAAGCCAATTAAAAAGCCAGTCACTCCTATTCATATACTTTGGTGTAGTGATTAAAATGATGGGTCTAGAAACCAGAAGGCAGTGAGTTCTAGTCCTGCCTTAGGCATGTAAGCTACTTTGGGCTGGCCACTCTTTCTCAGCCCAACTTACGTCACAGGGCTGTTATGGAGAAAATAGGGGGAGGAAGGATTATTATAGGTATGTTCACAGCCTTGAATTACTTATAAAGTAATAAAGGCAAGATACAAATCTAACCAATGAATCAATAAATGAATGAATACTTGGAACTATTCTGAACTAACGTAATATCAATCCATTGTCTCAGCTGTAGCTCTTCCTCCTGTCTCCTACAATCACTCCCAGTTGCCATTACAGCAAATTAGTCCTAGATATTTCCCTCAAAGGTGCACCTTTGGATTATAAATTAAAAAGTGTTAACAATGGATTCAGTTAAAAGGGAGAATGTACGTTCCACCTAGTCAATGGGACTACTGTACTGCATGTACAGTATTTCTCAAATGAGATGCTTGAGCCTTCCCACAGAATCAGGCGTTTATAAAAGATGGGGCCTCTCAGAGGTTATTAAGTGTGAAATTATTGGTTTCTATTATCCGGTGCAGTGTTCATGTTAACTGAATGCCCTGGAAAGTAAAAAAAGAAAAAGAAAAAGAAAAGAAAGCCATGGATATAGCCCGAACACATCAGTTAAAATTAACATCCTCTCTGCAGATTCTTTCATGGATCAGAGAAATGGCGGCCTCAAAAAGCTATATTACAGCGCATCCAGGAGCATCTGTGGATAATGAAACAGTGGGAATTCACATTTTTATCTGAAACAGAGGCTTGAAGCTTCAAATTGCTGGCAGAGAGAGGGATGAAAAAGGAACCAGTGATAGTCATGGAGAGATAAAGTCTCATTAAAAGGTTTCAAGCTTCTGCACAATGGTGCTACAGGAAAGAGCTTCACACCGTCCCTGGCTGCTGTCCTGTGCCTCCCTCCTTCATTATTAGCAGCATTTTATTCTTTCTTTCTATCATGCTGAACAAACGCCATGGCATCGCTCTGTCCATTCACCACAAAGACAAGCAAATCATTTGTCTACAAAGCGCTCAGCTGCAAAGCGGCGGCGGGGGGGGGGGGGGAGGGAGAAGACCCCTCTCAAGAGATAAGAGGGGAGAGGAATTGTGAGCTTAAATGTCTGTAATTCCAACCCACCCGGGAATTGTGGATCAAGATAGGGGCTGCTCTAGTTTCTTTGTTCCATTTTGAAATAAGTTTCTAGCCACGCAGATGGAAATAGCATTCATTTTTCTAAATCATACACAACGGTGAAAAGATAACTCTCTTTTTCCAAAGATGCTTTTTCAAGAGGCAATTGGACTTTCTTGTTTTTCTTTGAAGTCGTTTCACTTTTCATCCAAGAAGTTTCTTCAGCTCTAATGGAAGGATTTATATGCCTTGGTCATTTGCATTAATTTAGAGAGTCCTTGAGGCCACCTAGAGCAGTGTTTCTCAACCTTGACAATTTTAAGGCATGTGGACTTCAACTCCCAGAATTCCACAGCCAGCGTTGCTGGCTGTGGAATTCTGGGAGTTGAAGTCCACATGCCTTAAAATTGTCAAAGTTGAGAAACACTGACCTAGAGGTTTAACTGTGTCCTCAGGGTCACCTCAGTGGTGCAAATGGGTGTGGAGCCTTCTTGGAACTGCTGAAAGCCCTGTGTTGTAAACTGGAGATAGATGATATTGTATTCTCCCCCTCTATTGAGAGAGGGCTGTTCAATTTTGATATAGATGGCCTCTTTGACCCCTCTTTCTAATGGTTCCTGTGCCTTGACATTAGGAATGTTTCCTATTTTTTTTTATCAGTTATCTGTTCTCTGCAATTTCTGTCCTGTATTCTGGCAATTAACCTTTTTTATAAGTGTGCTCTTACGTGATTTTTAAGACTGCTATCATTTTCATTTTATTCTATTAAATTTATAAACTGTCCATTTCCCTCAGAGATCAAATACAAATTTCTGTAGAAGGACAGGCAGACAGATACATCTCCTTCCTGTGAAGTACATTTGATTTTAATTTCTTACGTAAAAAAAAATCAGCACTAGAATCTATTACATGTCACTCTCTTTCCAATGCATCAAGATGTGGTTTCATTTTTTGTCTTCTGGAATAGTAGATATCCTACCCAAATTATCTCACCATCAAAGTCATTAGTGAGGTTCTTTCAGCTGGTCAACTCCTGGGTGAGTGCTGCTTTTGAAGCCAGCTGTGGGTTTTCCTAATAACTGTCCCATTCAGATTACTTAACCAATTTAGCTCATCCGAGCATGTTCGTTTCAAGAAATCCCCAGGAAAGAAGCCTCTATTTTTTAGAGAGCCCAGAGTAATATCACTGTAGCACGCCAAACTTTTAAAAAGTTATTACAAATAGAATAGGTCCCCTTGGACACCACATTTACTGAGCAAAGTAAACATAATCATTGCCATTTTTTTCAAGAAAGTTAGAAATATTTAATTCATCACTATGGAACCACTAGCAAATCCCCAAATCACACTCAAGAGTGTATTTAGTAAAATTCTCTTTAATCCCTAGTCCACCGGTACTGACTACTTCCCTCCAAACTGCATGGGAAATATATACATGGTTATCATCACAGGACCAGTTGCTTGGAGGAAGAAACTGACGGATGGAAGTACCAGGTAGGAAATGATAAAACATTCCTTGCTAGCATAGCTCCCGTCTCCTGTGGCTTGTAAGCCCATCTTGAAAATGGCTTTACCGAGATTTGGAATGTAATAGCAGCTCAGCCTGGAATCAACCAATACAAGAAGTTCTCGACTTGCAGCCACAACTGAGCTCAAAATTTCTATTGCTAAATGAAACATTTGTTAAGTGAGTTTTGCCCCATTTTACTAACGTTCTTGTTACAACTGTTAAGTGATTAAGTTAGTAACATGGTTGTAAAGTGAATTTGGCTCCCCCAACTGACTTTGTTTGTCAGAAGGTCACAGAAAGTGATCACATAATCCTGGGATACTGCAACTTTCATAAATAAGAGTCAATTGCCAAGGGTCTGAATTTTGATCACATGATCATGGGGATGCTACAATGGCCATTAAGTGTGAAAAGCGGTCATAAGTCACTTTTCGGTGCTGTTGTAACTTTGAACGGTCACTAAATGAGCCGTAGTGGCACAGTGGTTAGAATGTTGTATTGTAGGCTAACTCACTGCTCATTGCCAGCAGTTCGATCCTGACAGGCTCAGAGTTGACTCAGCCTTCCATCCTTCCAAGGTGAGTAAAATGAGGACTCAAATTGTTGGGGATAAATATTCTGACTGTCAACCACTTAGAGAGGGCTGTAAAGCACTTGTTGTTAATTGCGAAGTCATGTCCGACCCATCGCGACCCCATGGACAACGTTCCTCCAGGTCTTCCTGTCCTCTACCATCTTCTGGAGTCCATTTAAGTTCACACCTACTGCTTCAGTGACTCCATCCAGCCATCTCATTCTCTGTCATCCCCTTCTTCTATTGCCCTCCATCTTTCCCAGCATTAGGCCCTTCTCCAGTGAGTCCTTCCTTCTCATTAGCTGGCCAAAGTATTTGAGTTTCAACTTCAGGATCTGGCCTTCCAAAGAGCAGTCGGGGTTAATCTCTTCTAGGACTGACCGGTTTGAACACCTTGCAGTCCAAGGGACTCGCAGGAGTCTTCTCCAGCACCATAGTTCAAAGGCCTCAATTCTTTGGCGCTCAGCCTTTCTTATGGTCCAACTTTCACAGCCATACATTGCAACTGGGAAAACCATGGCCTGGACTATATGCACTTTTGTTGGCAGGGTGATGTCTCTGCTTTTTAGTACTATGAAGTGGTATATAAGTAAGTGCTGTGGCTAGTGCTGTTGTCTTGAGTCTAGGGCTACCTGTATTATTAAATCAAAAGAATTGCATGCCCACCTAATCACAGTTCTAGGTCTATCCTCCAAAAGGACAGAGAAGATTGTCTGTTTATTTTAAGATTTCTAAATAAATAAAAGCCTCGATCCTACGCTGGCCATTTCTTTATCTGATGCTTTAGAAGCAAGTTGGGAACTTTAATCTCAGAAGTGACTCATAAAATAGTTTAATCTGAAATCCCATTGCATTCCAGATGGTGTATTTCTTAGCATATTAGCTTTGGAAAGACAACCATATCCACAACAAAAATAATGTGAACAATTTTTAGAAGGATAATACGCATCACAAGGCAAATAAAGGCAGCTGCTTAATAAAGCTTCCTGTCTTGAAGGCAAAATAGATAAAAGCCAATGAGCTAATTATTAGGACTAATTAAGTTTTATTGCAATCCATTGACTTCTATGGGAACCGACCACACCTACCCCTTTTAATATTACATTTCTCCAAACTTTTAACCGCAGTTAAGAAAACAGCATTACATCCCATACATGAAACCCTTGAGCATAGAAAGTTATTTAATTCTCTGCTTGCTAACCTGCTTCAATGGTGTATATCAACTCTGCATTCTCTCCTTTATCTTTGTCCAGGGCAGTGACCTGCAAAACTGCAGATCCGATGGCAGCTGATTCGAACACAGAAGCTTCGTACAGAGGACTGGTGAAGTAAGGACTGTGATCATTGGAATCCTCCACGTTTACAATGATCCTTGCCAAGTTGCGTCGATAGGGGAACTCCTGGTCGCGAACCTGGAAGAAAGAGGAAATGATCTTTTGAGCAGGACAAGCGAGAAATATTTGTCATCCTTGTGCCCAGTTGGAACGTGGATTAGTTTTTAAGTTTGCTTCTCTAGTTTTTCTTCAAAAGTTCCTGATGTGCTCCAGGACATTTGCAAATCATAGGACTCTTTTGTGAGTACTCTATGATTTTTATATTTTATACTTTGTAATGCCTTGGTAAGACCACATTTGGAATACTGCATCCAGTTTGGGTCACCATGATGTAAAAAAGATGTTGAGACTTTGAAAAAAGAGTGCAGAGAAGAGCAACAAAGATGATCAGGGGACTGGAGACTAAAACATATGAACGGTGGCTGGAATTGGGCATGTCTAATCTAGTGAAAAGAAGGACTAGCGGTGACAGGATAGCAGTGTTTCAATATTTAACAGGCTGCCATAAAGAAGAGGGGAAACAACCTATTCTCCAAAGCGCCTGAAGGCAGGACAAGAAGCAATGGATGGAAACTAATTAAGGAGAGAACCAACTTAGAACTAAGGAGAAATTTCCTGACAGCGAGAACAATTAATCAGTGGAACAACCTGCCTCCAGAAGCTGTGGGTGGTTCCAACACTGGAGGCTTTTAAGAAGAGACTGGACAAACATTTGTCTGAAATGGTATAGGGTTTCCTGCCTGAGTAGGGGGTTGGACTAGAAGACCTCCAAGGTCCCTTCTAACTCTGTCATTCTGTTAAAGATGTCTGTTGCAGATTGAAGAGCTCTGGATATAGGAGAATATGGTCCTATGAGCTGGCCTCCTAGTTTGAAAAGCATTGTATGATTGAGCCCAGAAAGACTATTATTATTATTCCTCATCCTACCAAATAAGTGATGGTGGACAACAGCTGCAGCATCTATAGTTGACCATTTCAAGGTGCTCATCTTGTCCATCCTCCGAGAATTCCTTCAGACATCTCCACCCCAGGGTATTACAAGTAGTCCTCAACCTACGACCACAATTGAGCCTAACATTTCTGTTGCTAAGTGAGACAGTCGCTGAGTAAGCCTTGCCCCATTTTATGACCTTTCTTGCCACTGCTGTTAAGTGAATCACTGCGGTTGTTAAGTTAGCAACACGACTGTTAAGTGAATCTGGCTTCCCCATTGACTTTGCTTGTCAGGATGTTGCAATAGGTGAGCACGTGATCCTGGGATACTGCAACCATCACAAATATGAGCCAGTTGCCAAGAGTCTGAATTTTGATCACGTGACTCTGGGGATGCCTCGACGGTCTTAAGTGTGGAAAATGGTCATGTCACTTTTTTCAGTGCTGTTGTAACTTCAAACAGTCACTATATGAACTGTTGTAAGTCGAGGACTCCCTGTATGGGAAATTTTAATTGGTAGGCATCTTTTAGGCACTAAAGTGAATCCAGTTCCAGTAAGGCTAATAACGTTTCCTAGGACTTTTCAACCTGAGTTTCAAAATTCTTAGAAATCATATTTGACCCCTCCCCCAAAAAAAAGGTTATTGTTCCATTAACACTCAGCACACACTTCACAGTGGGACAATTTGTACCATGTAATTTAGGCACCAGCAAATCAGTATCTTCTGCTGTTAAGAGGACCCGGCAAAAATCTGCAATAAAGCGGACCACTTGGTTTTAAGAGCTGAGCACAGCAAGAAAAGTGATAATCGCTTTGTTAACAGCTTCCAAAAGAATGTTAAGATTCTGAAGAAACACTTTTAAAAAGTTACCTCTGATAAGAGGGCCCTGACACTGGGAGATGATGATGATGTTCCAGCCACGTCTGGCTTCAAGATGGTATAAGCATTTTGTAAGATAAAAATCTCCCTTTCGTATTAAACCTCACAAAGCCTCCACAGTGAATATATGCATTGCCGTGGAAGTGGGGAAAAAAGAGAAACTAATTATTGCCTCCTTACCAAATCTAAAGCCGTTTTGCTTATCAGAAGACTGTAGCATGCACCTATTAAAGCTGGCAATTGTGTTGGAGAGCACAGCTTAATATTCCGTGCTTACCATTATGTTGAGAATGTGCTTATCTTGAGCTTCATGGTCTAAACGCTCAGCGGTATAGAGCACGCCTGTGTTGGGATCCATCCTGAATTTTCTCATACTGACGGAATCAAGACTACTGTGAATGATGTAACTGAGTTTGTGCTTCTCATCTCTGTCCATAGCTTCTACTTGAAGGATCTCAGTGTCCGGCATGATGTCCTCAGAAATCATTACATCGTAGCTTGGGTGGGAAAATTCTGGACCGTTATCGTTGTTGTCCAAAACTTTGATTAATACCTTTAGTTAAGAATCAAAGGGAGGGGGGGGGGAAAGAAGAGAGAATAAAATTTACATATTTATCAGCTCTTCTCAAAAGGACATATGATTATTTGAACATACAGGACATACATTCAATTTCACAGTTACTAAGGTTGTTGGCCATGCAGGTACAAAAATAGACAGAGAAACTATTGAAGCCTGGGAAACGGTCAACAGGAGTGCTGATTTACCACTAGCTTATCAGGCACTCAGGAGCTGAGGGTTTGACAGCACAAGGAAATAACAGCCAATTGTCGGCCATCAAAACACTAATGACCAATTGGAAGGCACCACATAAATACAACTCATAGAATAGCCAAAAGCATAGATTCAGTAGAGAGAAGTTCCCTGAAGATGGGCTCCAGAATGAGTCCAAAAGCTCGGAATAGTAAAACCTCTGGTCTCTGTAACTGACCCAGTTTGGATCTTGGACATATGTTTGCATAAGAACAATAGCTAATTATTAGATTTAGTGCTTTAGATGCATGTTGAAAGTCACCTGTCTCTTCATACTTATCTAAAATCAAAACTGAAGCTAACTGTCCACTCCCAAGGGTGCTTTTTCAAAAGGCAACTGGACTTTCATTTTTTCTTAAAGATGTTTTGGATGAGAAGCAAAATTTGTTCAAGGAAAAACAAAAGAAGTCCAGTTGCCTTTTGGAAAAGCACCTTCGGCACAACCAGGACCTGGATGACTGAGACTTTCTATAGACGTAACTGTCCACTAAGCCCCTCATTATGAACATTTCCTATATTACATCTTCCCAAAAAGGTTTTGCATTGCTTATATGGAAAGATTTCTGTGTTTACAGCCTAAAGAAAAGACAACTGGCGATGGATGTGGTATTATCCTTCAAATCTCTGAAAGCGGATAGTCAATCAGAAAAAGACACGAGAGTAAGACTCAATTTTATGGGCTTACATTAGGCTAGATTTATGTCAATTTTTAATCCTATTTAGAGGGTATTTTGTTACACTATGATTTTGTATCTCAAAAATAGCAAGAAGCCATGGAATCATTTTAGACAGTGGTTGGCACAGAGCTTTAAAAGGCAGAAAATAAAAATTAAAGTATGTATGATCTTGAGAGTCATTTGGCCAAACCTGTTCGGTCCCAGCCTACGTACGTCCTTGTTATTTCACAAAGACAACCCCTCCTTTAACAGTAGACTGGAAAATAAACCCTTTTTATTTGAGTTACAAATTACCTGATAATTGTCCCAGAAAACAAAAGCAACAGAACACTTTTCCAATGGAGACCTTGTCCAAAAGCAAAACGGAGCACAAGTCAAACAGGAAATAACTCAGACAAAATAAACAGACCATGATCTCTTGACTCTGAAGTTCTTTGCAAATGGTTGCCTCCAGCAACCAGCCCTGCCCACACATTCCCTTTTTGTTATGCAGCCCCCAAGGCATGGCTTCTCACTGCTTTCTCTTCCTCCCCTGGAGTCACCCCATTGCCTCCCTCTGTTCTACTCGTGTGACCTGTCTACATTTACGAGCGTCTCTGAGGTCTTCCAGCTGAGCTTCCTTCGAGTCCAACTCAGCTTCCCAGCACAGCTGGCTCTCAGCTTGATCACGAGTGGAAGTACCAGTCTCTTCATTAGTTTGTAAGTCCTCAGCTCATCAGAGCCTCCCTCTGACTGTGATGGCTCTCCAGGCGCCTCCTCCTCCTCCTCCTCCTCCTCTGATTCCTCAGACTCAACTACCGGGATCACAAGTTGGCACAGAATCACAACAGAACCATTTCTAACTTGGAGGGGTAGGGATCTCTTCTTCCTGAGTGGAAACCTTCATAAAAAGGCTGAACAGGGATCTCTTAAAGATGCTGCAGCTTCTGATTTCATTAATTAAACAGAAGGGTTAAATCAAGCAGACCATTTCCAATTCTTTGGCTCATATGTAAGATCATCATTTCTGATGTTTTTTGGATAGAACTAGATAAAACACAAAGGCCTGTTTTTTAACATTTCCATCTAACTGTAAACAAAGAAACTGGAAGGATGAATACATTTCTGTGATGTAGAAATTCTCCAAATATTTCTCAGGGGTAGGACTTAATGGTGACTGGAGAAACCTCCACAGTAGCAGTTTTCTTCTAGTGTCTTCTGTTGGGATTTAATTTAAGAGAGGAAATCGAGAAGCAGACGGTTATTTGGAAAAATCAATGAATAACAAAGGATAGGAGATTCACTCATACCCTTTAACTATACAATTAGTTCAACATCACAATCTACCCACAAACATTTCATTTTCCCCCCCATGTCCTTGGAAAAGTTTCTAGGGCCTTTTCTCTTTTATTGAATTATTAGGAAAAAGTGAAGGATTTCTCTAGGAAAACAAGCCCAGCAGGCTTTGGTTGGTAAAATGTAAGCAGTCAATTCCCTACAATGGACAAGTGTAAAGAGAAGCAGAACTACTGTTGTAAAAATTACATATGTGCTACTGGTTTTACAGCAATATTTTATGAAAATAGCTCTTCAAGAAATATGAAATATTAGCTTTTCATAGTATTAGCAACATTTCCTAGCATCTGTCATACATTTACCAAAAAGTACACCAACAATTGCTCTTCTCCTCCATCATGTGCAAAGGTCCATCTTGGGAACAATCTAGAAGGCAGTCATAATAAAACTCTACGTTAAGGCTATATGTTACTTAAGAAGCTGTGGTAGCCTTAGGGAGTTGTTGTTTTGTAAGGCTAGGGGAATTTTGGAAAGAAGTGATACCCAATTCTGTTAAAAGTTATCCTGCATAATCTATAACACCCAAACTGACGTTCTTTGCTTAGGACTGTTACTAAAAAAAAAATAACTGAAGTATAGTGTTATACCCTGAAATTGAGAACATTAATGATTTAAACGTGTGTTTCCATAATAAGTTTTCTTCCTTTCTGCAATCTTCAAGGAGGTAAGGATTCCCTGTCCCCAAAACCCTGAATTAAATTTAAAATTGAGTTAAACTTTGAATACAGCGGCTTTCTGTAGCTGAAGGGCTTCACTTTTAGTTGGCACTTTGTCATGGACACAAGTGTCCCCAATATGCAGCAGCTGCAGATTATAAGCTGTCAAAGGATTTGTCAGCCCAAATATCATGGTTTATGGAAAAAAGAATGAACAGCAGCTGCTCATGTTATGTCATAGGCTAATTCGTAAAATCACCCGGGATTGGGGAAAATATCTCCTTTTAAACAGAAAGTAATTTTCAGCAGAAAGAAAGAGGAAATATTTAATATCACACATGAAGCTTATAATAGAAGCCACGGCAACCAAACTTTTATTTCTCTTTTGCCTTTTTGAGTGGCATTTCTCATATCCTTTTGAATTTTCTTCTTGTATTTTACAAAAAAAAAAAAAAAACCCACTCAGATTTACTATAATGTACAGGAAAACAAAATCTCCAATATATGTTTGGATTGTTTGTTGTCCAAATATTAGATAAAATTCAGGTACTTGGCATGAATTTATGATGGTTACGATGTACTGGGGTCATGTGGCTGCCATTTGTGACCTCCTCAAACTTTACTCAAGAAGTAAAGTCAATAGGGGCGCCAGATTTGTGTAACAACCACATGATTCAGTTAACAACTGTGGTAAATTCGGTTAATAGCTGTAAAAATCAAATATGACTGACTTAACTGCCTTTGTTTAGCGTGCTATTGCTAGTGCCATTTTAGCCACTGAAATTCTCATCCCAAGTGTGGTTGTAAGTTGAGGGCTACCTGTTTATAATGATAAGAAGGGGAGAGGAAGAAGAAAAAAGAAAAAGAAGAAAAAAAGAAAACGAAAACTGGTTCCTCTTTCTTCCTGTTAGTTTTTTTTCTGCAAAAAATGCTGAGATCAACCCATCTTTTAGGGGGGGGGAAAGGGAAAAAAACAACCCTTTCCCTCCCATTCTTCTCACTGGAAAAAATATGGTTTCTCCTTGGGTTTTTTAAAGAGGTATCAGGAGGAAAATTGTGTGAACACAAACCATGTGCAGGAACAAACCCTTATTTACAGTTGAAGTTCTTTGCCCACAGAAAACTAGGGGACAGTATTCACAGCTAATGACCTTGACAATTCAAGTCAACCACGTTTGTGACATCCCAGCAATTTTTTTTCCATTATTTTTTTCCTCTAGGTCAGTGGTTCTCAACCTGTGGGTCGGGACCCCATTTGGGGTCGAACGACCATTTCACGGGGGTTGCCAAACAACGCAGTCCGCCATTTTTTCCCCCTTTTCCTTAGCTGTGCTACTCCCTTTTATTCTATTGGCTTTTGAAAGCCAATAGAATAGACTCTCTTGAATAGAGTCTAATTCTATTGGCTTTCAAAAGCCAATAGGAATTGTCCAGGCTGTCTCTGCCCTGCTGAGCCCGCCAAAAGTCCCATTCTGCAAACGGTTGAGTAGTCCTCGACTTACAACCGGTTGAGTAGTTCTCGACTTACGACCGGTTGGGGGTCGCGGCATTAAAAAGGTTGAGAACCACTGCTCTAGGTCCTAATAATGTAAGTTATCCTAAGGGAGGGGTGTCAAACTGCCGGCCCACAGGCCAGATGCATCACACTGAAGCCGCGCCCACCCCATTACCGGCAATGGCAAAACAGTCCCGATACGTCACGTGACATCGTGAGTGTGACATGTCTGTCCTAAGGCCATTTTTCTGCAGGAGGGAATTGCTGTTCTATTATATATTGGTTAGGTTTATACAGGGATGAACTTGTTAGATGATCCTTCCCTTTGAAGAACTGAAAATTTGGAAGCCTTGCCTGTTTGGGTCAGGAGTTGGGTTCAGAAATAAGTCAGCAACATCTCAGTTATGTTCTAATCTGACGACACATTATTGTAATTGGCTTGACAATCTATAGAGGAAAGAGTGAGGGACTGCAAGTAGATGTTTGCTGCTGTTATTGACCGACTTGTCACATTACATAAACCTTAAAAAAGGGAGACTGCCCTATAAACCTTAAGAGATAAACCAGTATTGGCAAAAGAGCCACAGTGATCAATTAGACAGTTGGATCTGAGCTCAAGAAGCCTAGAAAAGAAATCCCAGGCAGGCATCCTGGCTCTAGGCAAGCCAATTTATTTTTGATAACAATTTTATAATTCTGTTAATATTAATAATGCTTGCGAATGTGAGACCCACATCCAGCTTTCATGCTTGAGAAAAGCTAGTAATAAATCAAGTAATCAAAATAACTGTATCTGGCATATCTAATTTATGGGCGAATTGCAAGTTGGTTAAGATCAGACTGGACTAAAAGGGTAACCCATAAGCAGCGAGTGGTTGGATAATGAATTCACTTGCACGCAGCATTATATTCTGGGTCGCTGAGATTTTGCCCTATGGTTAGAAATGATACAAAAAGATATTTTGTTGTGCCTCAAAAGGACATGAAAGGCTCAGCTCAACCAAGTCCTGTTGTACAACTCTTCCCATGTGCCAAAGGGACTGCCCAGGTTTAAGGAGATGGACCCTAAACCACAGGAGTGATTTGGAAAGGAGAAAGAAGGAATAGGGGTGTCGAATATTGTCACCACAAACATCCTCTGGAGGAACTCTGGAAAGAGTGCAGAAAAGAGCAACAAAGATAATTAGGGGGCTTGGAGGCTAAAACATATGAAGAACGGTTGCAGGAATTGGGTTTGTCTAGTGCAGGGCTAGGCAACCTTGGCTCTTTTATGACTCATGGACTTCAACTCCCAGAATTCCTGAGCCAGCATGGCTCAGCATGGAAACCTCTCCCTTTCCCCTCAGCATGGCTGGCTCAGGAATTCTGGGAGTTGAAGTCCACGAGTCACAAAAGAGCCAAGGTGGCCTATCTCTGGCCTAGGCCTAGGCCGCTTTATGACTCGTGGACTTCAACTCCCAGAATTCCTGAGCCAGCATGGCTCAGCTTGGAAACCTCTCCCTTTCCCCTCAGCATGGCTGGCTCAGGAATTCTGGGAGTTGAAGTCCACGAGTCACAAAAGAGCCAAGGTGGCCTATCTCTGGCCTAGGCCTAGGCCGCTTTATGACTCGTGGACTTCAACTCCCAGAATTCCTGAGCCAGCATGGCTCAGCTTGGAAACCTCTCCCTTTCCCTCAGCATGGCTGGTTCAGGAATTCTGGGAGTTGAAGTCCACGAGTCACAAAAGAGCCAAGGTTGCCTACCTTGTGGTCTAGTGAAAAGGAGGACTAGAGGGGACACAATAGGAGTGTTCCAATATTGGAGGGGCTGCCACCAAGAAGAAAGGACCAACTTATTTTCCTAAGTACCAGAAGGTAAGACAAGAAACAATGGATGGCAGCTCATCAAGAAGAGATCCAACCTAGAATTAAGGAGAAAATTCCTAATAGTGAGAACAATTAATCAGTGAAAGAATCTGTCTCCAGAAGTTGTGGGTGCTCCATCACTGGAGGCTTTTAAGAAGAGACTTGATGGCCCACTTATCTGGAATGGCATGGGGTCTCCTGCTTGTGCAGTCGTTTGACTAGATAGAAGACCTCCAAGGTCCCTTCCTACTCTGTTATTCTGTGATGGACTCTAAATCACTGGAGTGATTTCGGAAAGAGGAAGAAGGAGTAGGACCGATGAACAATGTCATCCCAAACATATCTGGAAGAAAAGTTCTGATGGAAATCTTTCCCTGGGGTTGGGGGATAAATGGAGGGGTTGGGGGTTTGCTCTGACACTCTGGAAGCTCTTCTCATTCATATGCTCTTAAGAAATAATGCTGTGAAGATGTCTACTGAATCACAAATTCTTCCTACGGTGGATTTGTGATCTGTTTTACATCATTTGTCCATTTCTTATCATATTATAGAGAAGTCTCATCACTTTGGACTCCTTGGTGGGCACCCAGGTTATTTTCTCAGACCCAGAAAATAAGGGTTGGTTTGTTGTTGATGAGCATTTTGCTGTTGTTATTACATTTCCTTTTTCCTTTCCGTTCTTCCCCAGGCTATCCACAGAAAAACAAGCGAGTTAATCCCATTCACTGGTTCCATCTGGGCATTAGACCTAAACCGTTTTATTTAGGGCCAAGAGATATTGCCACAATTTCAAGTATTTTCTTCTACTCCTTGCAGAACTCCCATGGTTAAAACAATCTCAGTAAAGACTCTTTGAACCTTTTCAGTTTCTAAATTTGGCAACAACACTCAGAGCTTTTCCAAATATGATATACTGAATTGAAAAAAAAAACAACAACCCTGAACTTTGAAGGATCCCAAGAAATACAATTATATCCATGCAGATAAAAATAGAAGGCAAGCAAATTTGAAATCCATGGGCGTGCATCAAAAATAATTTTAGTTTGCTCTAGGTTATGATTACTCTGACAAATGTTACTGAAGAATAAATATCAATCTTTGTCCAAACACATATAAAGAAGTCTTTGACTTACAAATGTAATTGAGACAGCAATTACAGCCGTAATTCATGCCGGTCATGGATTTTATGACCTTTTTGCAGCAGTTGTAAAGTGAACACCATGGTCATTAAATGAACCCAATGGGCATTTTTTGCCAGAAATACATGCTGGTTTCCAGCATAAAAAGTCGTATATCATGGTCACGTGACTGCAGGATGTTGCAAATGGCTATGAATGCAGGCTGGTTGCCAAATGTTCGAAATGTATTTACATTACCATTTGTGTGTGTGCGACTGTTAAAACTTTGAAACTGGGACCTAAGTAGCTTTTTGGGAGGGAGGGGGCCTGATGTCACATCAACTAGCTGCAAAGTGACCAGTTGTAAGTCAAGCACTACCTGTACATATATCATCAGCACAAGAGCCAGGCATTCTAGTTTTAGTTTCAAATAATACCCCACTTGTAATAGAGAGTTTCCAAAAATTTGGAGCACATACATACACACTGCAATATTTGGCAATGGGATTCTCACTATACAGTCCAGCTAGATTATGTATGTTTATCACGGACATCTAATGAGCCCTGAAGTAAGTATGTTTCTTCTTCTCTCTTGCAAAAATGGCAGAAAACCACACAAGCTTTTACTAATCACTGTGACTGGTTCGCTAATTCAAATCACAGAGTCCAATTAATTGAAAACAAGCAAAATTCAAACAGCAGTTTGTAAAGATGGCCTAAGTAAAGCCCCAGTTTGTATTAACCATAGTTTAGGGCTGAGACACTATAACAGGTGGCTTCTGAATTGCCCCTCTTGAGTATGAGAAGGAAGAAGGAGAACATTACGATGCTGGAAAGAGGCATAATTTAAATGTCATCTGTGAATGCACCACTGTGAACATTATGAGTTAATTTAAGTGGGAGAGCTGCTCTGTTTTCCAAATTTTCAGATGGGGAAAAGATTAATACAAACATATTGCAAACTGCCAGATGACTAAAAGAAGAGAAGAATTAAGCAGAGGGTGCAGGCAAAGCTTCTCTCTGGCTCAACCTTTGCTGAGGTTAATCAACCTGATAGGTTCCTTTGTACTTATTCTCAGACAATAAATCATAGCTACCACTACCACTGTTCAGCTTCAAGTCTTTGCAAAGAAGCATTAAAAGGGAACTTGGCCAGCACGAAAGCATTTCTAGTAGCTTTCCATTCTCCAAGAGATTGAGAGCCCATCAGGACAAATCATGCAACCTATTGCAAAGCGGTTGCTTTGGGAGTCAACTCGGATCCGTTTTTTTAATCCCACATTTTCCTGGCCCCAAACGGCTGAGAATTTACTGAGCCCTGAATTGACTAAGCCCACTCAGCTCCCTTAAGTTCTTTTGGTTAGCTGCCATCAAAGCTAATACACCACTAACTTAAGCCTTGTGTGAATTGTAAACCACGATTATTGGACTCCCTTTCCTGGAGCAGTAATGGGCCATATGCAAGGCCTCCAAAGGGAATAGGAAATCGTCACAGTTTTTAAGCAGGAAAGAAAACCCAAACCTGTAATTGAGTGGCAGCCATCTCATTACAGAAACTAAAACTGTTTCACAGATCCACCTCATTGAGCACATTACGGTAGGAAAACATTTTTGGCATTCCGACATCTTTCGCCTCCTTCAAAAACACAGCAGACCCACTGCCAGGGTAGGGAAAGAAAAGCGCCAGCAAGTGCTATCCAATTATACATATATATGTAGTTTCATTCTACAAATTGGAGCTCAGTTGCTTGGTGGCTTGCATTCAGGATGCCACAGAAGGAGAATTTACAGTTTTACAAACCTACTGAATTATTGGACACTCTCCCCCCCCTTTTATTTTACTGCTATCCCTTTTTTTCCAGAATTATCCTCCCTCCCTCCATTTGGCAAGTATCGGCAAAAAAATTTTTTTTTTAAAAAATTGCAGGTGCATCTGAGCATAAACAGCGAAAGACTATATTGCTGGGAAGGGAAAGGAGATATTGTTAAGGGTCATCAGGAAATGACTAATCTTTTCACTGGCGTGGTTTCTAATTGTTATCAGGAATCCATTGTAGGGGAAAACCAACAAAACAATGTTTTTGGCCACAGCTACAAATTCTATGGAATTCGCAGATACTATGAGGTTCATCTTCAGAAAGTAAGTATAATTAAGTTCAAGATCACCTGTCCAGAAAGTAGGTATTTTAAGTGAATGTGAATGGAGAAACACAGGATTATGGGGTCCTTCGTAGTCTCTGAGCCTGGTTGTTTTCTTGCAGACATTTCATTACCGAACTAGGTAACATCATCAGAGCATTGATGTTACCTAGCTGGGCAATGAAATGTCTGCAAGAAAACAACCAAGCTCAGAGAGCACCAAGGACCTCTCATTTCAATCCTGAGCTACAAATATTCTCTTTTATTGGTACAATATATACATGTAATAACTGTATGTAAGAAGCAAATACACAGTTTAGCTGATTAAGATATTCCCTTCATTAGAACAAGAGGAACATATTCATGAACAAGACGTGCATTTTCATAACTTTTATGTGCGAATTAGGGACAGATATGATAATAGATGCTACCTGAGTGCTGGCTACATTGGTCCCATCGGTGACTTCCACTGTCATGTTGTACATTGACCTCTGCTCTGCATCCAAGGGTTTTGCAACGACAATCGTCCCCACACCTTTGTCGGCTTCGAAAGAGCTCTCGAAATTCCCCCCTAGTTGTCGTTACAACAGAAAATACAATTACATTCACAGAATGTTTTTGATTCAAGACAATAAAATACCCAAGGCAACAGGCACAGACCAGGATGTGCTGACTTACATAGAGGCACTGCACAAAACATGCGTTATCATCTTTGTTCTACGCTCATTTTTCCCTTTCAGGCATCATTTCTATATTTCAGAACAGATATTGCAACAAGGGACAGGATGGGGAGAAGAAAATAACAACCAATACTGCAGATAAAAGTTTCAGCAATTCACCCATGTGGAGTGTAGATGTACACCCTTTTTAATATGAAAGCCCCATCGTCACTGCATATGCCTTTGGGATCAAGATTTGAGCATCATTTTCATGTCACACTATTTATCCAGTGCCAGCAGGGCCCTAGACATGTGTTGTTGTTTTTTTTTAAATACTTGACTCCTTTAATTAACAGTCCTCTTCATGAAAGAAATATCATTTCTCATAGAAAGCTGCTTTAAACCAGGTCCAACTGGTTGACTAACTAGCCAGAATATCTAGGTTATCTGGACTGGCTACCCAGTCAAGAACTTTAACATTTCCACCTCCCCCCCCCCCGGCTACATGTCAAATTTACTTAGGGTGACTTAGCACTGAACCCACGATTTTCTGTTTAGCATGTGTTAGGATCATCGAAAACACAAAAAAAGTCTAATGCACATAACTCCCACTGTCTTCATGGCAATGTCTTTGAAAGCAAATCTTGGTTTTCTTTCAATTAGTAGGCAAGTCTACTCCTAAGTGCTTCCCATGCGTTTAAAAAGCCTCCATTGATCTGAAAGAGAGCATGATTCTCCTGATTGGAGAAAAGAGCTCTCTCCTGGAGATACAAGAAAGAAAAATATTTAGAGAGGTGTGTCAGACTCTTAGAAAACAGGAAAGGGGGAGCATCATGATGGCTGTCCTTAGCTTATTTCTTGTACATGATTAGATACATAAAAAAGCTGATGGCAGAGGAAGACCTTGTGGGTCCATCAAGTCCAGGGTAGTCACTATATAATCTATAGTTTTATCATTTCTCCTTCCTCCGCTTCCTCCTTCTGCACCTCCGGGCAGGTGGGGATGCTTCTTAACAAAACATTAGATCACAGCATTCTTCATTTTTTAGGAATGCTTATGAGGAATCTAATGGCATTCGTGGAAATCAGGATTTCCTCTGAAAAATGTTCTTTTACAGCAGTGTTTCTCAACCTTGACAATTTTAAGGCATGTGGACTTCAACTCCCAGAATTCCACAGCCAGCAATGCTGGCTGTGGAATTCTGGGAGTTGAAGTCCACATGCCTTAAAATTGTCAAGGTTGAGAAACACTGCTTTACAGCATGTCATTTTACTTTGCAACTAGCTTATATTTTAAGTCTAAAAAATTAAAAGTAGAGTGGGTCTTAAGGATGGCATCAATGAATCCTTCCTCCCTCCCTCCCTCCCTCCCTCCCTCCCTTCCTTCCTTCCTTCCTTCCTTCCTTCCTTCCTTCCTTCCTTCCTTCCTTCCACAGCCCCCTCTCACCTAAGCGATCCTGAGTGGTTTACAACTTTAAGGGGAGTGATTCTAATGACCAAATGTGATTAAGTCAAATTTGGAGCTTCTTAAGGCATTGGGCTTCTGAAAAAACAACACCCCAAATGAAGACTAAACTTCTCTATTTCCATGAACTAGAGACCAGCAGCTGAAACTGGGGTCAACAACATGAGATACGGATTAAAAAAGGCCAAGGGATGGGCAAACTCCCTTAATTCACCCCATAACAGGATCAGGTTCCATGTGACATCTGGCTTCTCATGTTTAAAAATTATTCTTACTGAAAAAAAAAGAAAAATATGTTTAATTAAATAAAGAGAGCCAGCTTTGGCCTCATCTGTATTTCCAGAATGACTCTGAGCCTCACAAGGGTCCTCTAAGCTTTCTTACAAAATAAAAATCACGACGTTTGCAAGAAGGATCGCTTCGGCTTTTTCCCCAAAGTGGTGATTTGCTCAGTGCAAAAAGGTCCTTCCAACCCCCCTCTATACAGGCAGATAGTATATGCAGGGGAGCATTCAATAATGTGTTTTCCTTCATCTGCAGATTGATGTTACAGTCTCTGCCACCATTTCTTTGCACGGCACAATTTGATTTGTTTCAAGCTGTGAGGTGAGGGTTTGAATGTAGATGGCTAAGAATGCAAACAGATGTTCCAGCGAAAAGCGCCATGTCCCCTCTGTTGGTTTAAGAAGGACGTCTGGACACATCATGCTAATCCCTGTTCTTCCCAAAGGTCTGCCTCCACCTTTCAAAGAATATCGCCCTTTGCACCTGATGTTAATTTTATTTTATGCCAAAAATATACCTACCTATTCCCCATGAAAACTTCCACGCATGTCTTTGCAACTTATCTCTTTTTTGAGCTGCTGCACGCAGCACTTTGTAGCATTCAATTGCAAGCAGCGGCATAACTGGTCTTGACATTTAATTAAAGCCGTAATGGTATTAATACATTAAAATATTTCTATTGGATTATACGCTTTTCATTATTGCCTTTTTTTTCCAAAGCAGCCCTTGCCTTTTGCTTTCTGTGGCAAAAAAGGAAGATCATCGCACTCTGATTTGAGCTCAGCAAAGCCTTTCTCAAAAAAAAAGAGAAAGAGAACTGATGGTTGTTTCTCATGCAAAACTCTAATATAAAATCTGAGCAGCCCCAGGACAAGGGATGCTTTCTTGCAGATAATGTTTTAACTTATGACTCTGAGAGGAGGAGGAGGAGGAGGAGAAGGAGGAGGAAGAGGAGGAGGCAATAACTGAAGGTGCTTCACTGGAATCATAATGAGAAATCAGAAGACCAAAAGATTATCAGGGTATTCTTAGCTTAATAGTAAAAGCAGCTGTATTGAAAGTTCTGTACTTTAAAAGTTAGAAGCAATTAAAAGTTAGAAGGAATCGAATAGGAAGTGAGTGCTTTTTAAATGCAACTTTTTGTAGTAATGAAAGCGTAGAGTAGCTTGAATTAAAGGCAAGAATCCTTTTAAACTTTTCTAAAGGCAAACATTTGCAAAAAACACTTTGCAGAGTGCGTTGGCCAGTGTGGAATCTCTCTCGAGAATTATTAAAATAGCCGCATCCTTCTGAAGGTTCAATGTAGCTGCATCAAAGGCTGTTCCTGGTTATCTATAGATGTGTGTACATGAACAGCTGTTCTGCTTCATGACAGCACAACAGCAATAGTGCCTTTGCATGCATATAAAGAAGCAGAGAACTGGGGAAAGACTTTGGAACAACTGTGACGAGTCTTTCCAAGGATGTGGCTGCCTTAATGCTCAAGGACCAATGCTTCAATCACAGGCCAACACGCTTCACTAAGTGCCCTTATTTAGGTCAAATTTTTAATGAGCTTCTGCATTAGCTGCTTTTGGTTCATCTCAACACGTCTTCTTTCTCCCACTGCTGATGAGGCATACCCGGCTAAAGCAGCTACTGGCCCTTTGCAACATTTCCCCAAGGCCTTGTAAAGCCTCCATGCAGCCTCCCAAAGGGCATCTATACTTGGATTGGAGATCACTAGGAAGTCTAGGCATGCAGAATAGACTGGAAAACTAAAACAAAATTCTTGGAAAAATGCATTGACAAATGACTCCTTTCCTTTCCTCCTGTCTAGAAAAATGTATTTTTGTATCTGTAGGAGAAAGCAGGCAAGGGCTGAGGGCAGAGTCAAGGGAGGACTCAGCCTAGAATCGCTATATGTCCACAAATGATCCAAATCCAGTCCCCCTTTGAATTCCATTAACTCTTTATCTAGAGCCAATTTGGTGTTGACCGTTGACTAGATTCTTGTGTATAGGCTTAATAATAAATCTTCTGAACCGGCACTTATGTGTGAGCCTGATTCTTTCCACCTGACATATCGATGCCATCTCCAGGTGTTTTTTTTTAAAATGTATTTAATTTATGAACTCTATTTATAAACTGCTGCCCAATCCTCTCAATGTCTTCAAAGCTGAAAGATTACAGTATAAAACCAAAAGTACAGGTATCTAATAACCAGAGTTGATATCACCCTTCCGTCAGTTGGGATGGAAAGCTTGCTGAAACAAAGCTTGTCTGAAGGGTATCTATAGCTTTTGAGACTTTTATCAGGATTCGTTTATTACAGCTAGCCAGGCATGGAAGATTTTCTTTTTCCCCGTTTTTGCTTTTCGGCAGAATTTTATTAGTGTATCTCTGCACAATGTAGCCGCAGGCACTTCAAATAAAATCAAAGATGCAGCAAGCTGCTCCCATGCAGGATTTTAAAAACAAAAAGGGCAGAAACCCACTTCTGAAATACCAGAATGAATAAATTCAGAAACAAAACGTTCTAGAGGGGAAAAGAGGATCAGTTGAATTTTGCAAGGATCTCCTCAATTCACGGTTGTGAGACTGCTGTGATCCATAGGTCCATGGAAGGAGGAAAGCTGGTCTGAAATGCTCACATCTTACGATGAAGTCAGCCTCAAAGATGGTGGAAGCCACTGTTAATATGCTTTCTTAAGTACTTCTAATGCTTTCTTAAGTACTTCCAAACCAGTGTTTCTCAACCTTGACAATTTTAAGGCATGTGGACTTCAACTCCCAGAATTCCACAGCCAGCATTGCTGGCTGTGGAATTCTGGGAGTTGAAATCCACATGCCTTAAAATTGTCAAGGTTGAGAAACACTGTAACCAAAACAAAGGGGTAGAGACAAATCCACCTTTGTATTATGTTCAAAATATTTAAGCTCTTTAGCTTCATTATTTGTATATCTAGTGAGAAGTCTGGTTTTACTTCATCTGGAACTGAATGACTGCTTCTTTTGTGCAGTACATTCAAAACAATTTTCTCCAACAAAACGTTCGATGGTCCCAGTTTTCAAAGTCCTGTATTACAACTGGAAAAACCATGCTATTGACCATATATATGTACCTTCTCCAAAGGGAGCAAACATCACTTTATTTCATGGCTACAGTCACCACCCCTGTCG